TCATCACCATCGTTAATGACGGCGGTCTTTGTTGGCAGAGCTCCGGTGAGTGGTGACCACGCGTGGCCAGAGGTTGAACATGACCATCTACAATAAAGCAAAAGTAATGTTTAAATATTTATTTAGGGAATATATTTCATATAGAGTGGTTGTGGTGGAGTGGTTGGCGTGTGTGGATTAGAGGCCAAGTGTTCGAGACTTGGGGGGTGTAAGAAGAGAGAATTATTTTTTTTTTAAATTTGAACCTATTTACGGCGGTAAAGAACCGCCGTTTTTGGTCCTATATAATTGCCGTTTTTTATCGACTTTTAACAATGGTAATTTACCTTTTACGACGGTTGTACCTTTTTCGACACGAGTATAAACGGCGGTCCTAAATTACCGCCGTTAAAACCCAATTTTGGCGTAGTGCCTATAATATACAAAACTCATTTTTTGACTATACCATTCCGATAATTCTCATGTTTTTTGGGCATAGCCAACTCCCATATCAAAACTTTGACCATCATATCTGGATTGCAAAAAAGAAAAGGGAGAATTACTAATCAGGGTTAATTTTTAAAACTTATTATATATTCATGAAAAAATTTAAAATTTTAATTATTATTATTTATAATATTTACTACTGTCTATAATTATTTTTTTTTAAACAAAACTATCATGTAGTTTCCCTGCCAAAAAAATCTGAAGATCATGATTGGCATTTACTGAAGTGACAAATTTGGCTCAAGCCTTGGTACACCATTGGAGAGATTTTTTAATCAAAGTACATGTTAACCCCACTTTTTATTACACGATTATCATTACCAAAATTCGTTGTTATAGTTCATTTCATTGGTACAGTTTGGAAATAAGTCCACCAACATCCATAACTACAAAAAGGTTATCTCAATCTTACATACATAACAAAATGCAACATCAGTCACAATAAATAAATTGCCTGCAAGCTACATTGTCACATAAAGAGAAAATGTTTAACCCTCAAATATAGTGAAGGCCTTCCGCAAACAAATAAAGTCCTCGTGGCCAACACGAAAGGAAGATCACCGATCTAGTATCACTTATCAACTTGCACTTGAAAAAAGATTAATAACATGGGATGGGCATAAAGCCCAGTAGGAATCCCAACATAATCCTAAATAATAACAATATACACATAACTATGATCATGAATGCCTTATATCATACAATATAAATAATGTGACAGTTTATAATCAAAGTATACGTATATATAAACTTTTTCAAAAAAAAAAAAAAAAAAAAAAAAAAAAAAAAAAAAGTCCAATTTGCTTAACAATACATAACATTATCTTTTCTTTGTTGTACATTATCCATTTCATAAAGAACATATATTAACAATGCGTTTTCAATAACATATTCACAAAACTCAATCACGTTTCATTCCTTACACTTCTAACCCATCACATACACCCATTACTAATACATGAATCACATTTCCAAGTCCTAAGCCAAGGGTAATGAAACATTTCTACAACCCGTTCGACACACAAATTTACATACAATACCTTTAACATGAAAAGAAAATATGCAAAGACTACTACACAATCATATGAAAAAACCTGACCTCATCAACCAAACCACTACCACATATGACATACACAAATAAATCGGTTCAACACTGAAACCCCAGCCCATGCCCTACTTGCCTCAAGTATGGTAAACCGAATATACAACTTTCCACAACAAAATGCCAATTTACCAAATATAAGCTGGAAGGTAATGGTACCTCTTACTAGACACAAGCTGAAAGGGAAGGGTATCTCTGCCAAGTTCTCCAGGCGCTAGCTGGAAGGTACTGACACCTCTTGTTCTAAGCGCAACCAATTATCTAGGCGCTAGCTCGAAGATAATAATACCTCTCATTCTCAGCGCAGTATACATTACCAACCATCACAACATGCTAAAATAATAATACAAGTGTAATACATACACATAATTTATTTAACACATCAATGTCATCCTCTACCGATGACCAATGACAAAACCTTTAAGCACATGTATTTAATACACATAAATACAACTGTCCAAATCTTGTGAAATATAAGCCCAACAACAACAATAACATATATCAAATGTTCAAATGATCAATCTCTTGTTTATTCACAATTTACAAAAGAGTCATAATTTTATTCTCCTTTTGTCACGCCCCCAAACCGCCCCTAGTAGTTTGGTGCCGTGATGGCCAGTAATCCGAGATTACCGAAGGCCGACTTACAAGAATCATCAAGACAAGAGTGCAGTTGCATTATAGTCCCCTGCAGCTACGGACTTTCAAGACAAGAGTGCAGTTGCATTATAGTCCCCTGCAGCTACGGACTTTCAAGACAAGAGTGCAGTTGCATTATAGTCCCCTGCAGCTACGGACTTTCAAGACAAGAGTGCAGTTGCATTATAGTCCCCTGCAGCTAAGGACTTTCAAGAAATGTCATCAAAACAAGATAGTGCTTAATATACAAGTAGGGATAGTCATTCATGCTAGATCAAGTACTTTTCAAAACAAGCCAAGACGAGATTTATGAAAGCAAGTGTAACATAGCTTTATTAAAAATACCACTCACATAGTTCTTCACACGTCGGGGTCGAGACAAGCCCAAGTCCTACAAACACAGAGCAAAGCCTATTGAATGCACTTTCAAACAAGTCTCGTATGTATGCAAATGATCTCGGAAAAGTATGCTGGGCACTAACCAGGTCTAGGCCGAGGTTCCACACCTCCTTGCTGAGGTGTGTCCCCGAGGGCCACATGCAAGGAAAAGAGGTCGGGAACTCTGGGTTTCCCTCTGCTGATGAACATGAAGAACATGAGTGTGAAATCATGAAAAAAAATATGAATGTTCAATCACAATCTGTTATCACAAATCTGGGATTTTCATGCTACGAGTTTGAAAACACGGACCTGGTTACTCGTACTTGAAGTTCTTGCGGAAATAAACACAAAAACATGATTCTTTATGCAAGCTTTTGGATCAAAACAAGACTTTTTCTTGAAGAACACATGGATGTCATTTTCTCTTTCTAACACCGAACTTCAAAACAATGCATGGCTTACAAATCATATCCGATCATGCAATGCAATAACATGAACATAGAGAACATCTTGAGCAGATCAAGAATCTAACCTTAGAACACAGATCTGACGGTTCGATCTCTAGGAATCAAGTTTGAAGATCTACTTCCTCACTCTAAAACTCCTTCTTCCTCCTAGAGCTCCTCTCTCTAAAAGACAAGATTATGATATCAAATGATAGTTTTCTTTACCCGGTTCTGGGGTTAACCCTCTGCTGAGGCACGTGGCGGCGACTGGTTGGGTTTTCCCTGAAAAGGTGGCTGACAGACCAGACAAAGCATGGTGGAAGGGTGTTCAACAAGTAAAGCGGTATGGGCTCTCTGACGAGGCAATGACATCGGCTAATAACAAGGCGTATCTAACAAGCTACACGGAATGGCACTCCGGCAAGGGGTGACATCGGCTAACAAAGGATTTCGGCAACTAAGGTGACAATGACCTCGGCTAGGTAAGACAACACTTGACTAAGCTGTGCCACATCTTGGCCTAGATGCACCACACCTCGGTCTAGGTCATACCACTCCAGGACGAGATCACTTGGGTGCAAGGTAACATCTCGGCTAATGTGTCAAGGCAAGGACGGAGGTTAACAAGGGGTTCCAAGATACTTCTAGACTGAGGATGACCTCGGCTTGGAATGATCTAGGCATAACGTAATCTAGGCTAGGAATAACATCGGCTTACATAACTCATTCAAGGCGCGACCTAAGTTTCACATCAAGGAAGGAACAAGACAAGCACACAACACTTAGACAAATCACAAGGCTTCAAAACAAGGCATGGATCTCACTTGCTAAAGCGAAGCAAGTCACAAACATACACATGCAAGCTTAACAAGCCATAATCATACAGATGCTCATGAACATGACGAAGACATAAAATGTGGGTTCCTACACCTTTCAAACTCAATTTCCTTATTTTTTTCCAATTCACAACACTCCAATCATGTTCCAAAAATTCATTTTTCTTTCTTTAATAATCCCTAACCCATAGTCAACTGAAACCACAACCCAACTCAACTCAACTCAACATATATTTCTCAAAACAATCTCAATGTCTCGGTTAACTCCTTTTTTAACAATTACTACATTAATATAATCCACATAATAGATAACACAACTATTACTCAACTTTTCCCTTTCTCATTTCATCAAACCTTAAAGATTAGGGTTTTTCCTCCATTCATAACATAAACAACGTAGATTACCTACCAATACACCAAAACCTCCAAAAAAAACATACAATTTCACTTTCCACAACTCAAACCAAAAACCACTTTTTTATGAATTTGAAATCACATAAATCATGTTTTTCATGCAATAGAAATATACATGTCTTTCCATAAGGGAGTGTGAAAAAGGAGTAAAACAATCCCTACCTTTAGCAAGAAGAGGAGAAACCCCAGAAATCTAACTTCGACGAAAACACAATGAGCTCAAATTACTTGAAAACTCTCTTTGTACTCTATGTTTTGATATATGGAACTAGGATGAGATTTTGAGTGAAAGGAGATGAAATCCAAGTTAAAAGCTTCGGACATGGAGGAAAAAGAGAGGAGAGAAAAAATGATCTAGATTTGACCAAAAAGTGACTTTTTAAAGTACTGATTCTGAACAGACCGCTTGAGCGATGAAACTTGCACTTGAGCATCAGAGACACATTACTGCTCGAGCGACAAAACTCACTCAAGCGCAGAACGCATACCCCCAGAAGTTTAGTTTGCAAACAGAAGTACTAAAAGACTCGAAAGACCGCTTGAGCGAACAATTCATCGCTCAAGTGATGAAGATTATTTTATTTATTTCAGAATGCTACAGTATAGTTAAAATGACTTTGGCTCAAGAATTCAACATATACCATGGAGTTGCTTCTACCCATTCAAAGACTACATTTCTACTTGACATTTAAAAAGAGTAAGAATGTTAATTAGTTGAAACCATACAACAAAATAAGAGCATAAGCATTTTATACATTTGAAACCATAGTAAACACACCTAAAAAGGAAGAAAGGAGATACTTCCATTATCATAATTAAACATCCAAAACACCCTCACCACAATTGGCATCAGTGCATACATACATACATACAGAAAAAAAATTAAAAAATTAAAAAATTTGGTAGAACAGATTGTCAGCACACCTTGTCAAGAATCATTCACACCTTGCGGCTACGTTTTGCACATACTGACGAAGCTGATTCCAAGTCCCCAAGGAAGAAAAGGATTTTGTCCAGAATCCCTAAGCTGGGTTCCTCCTCGAGAGATCCTTCTCCTCCGACAAAGTCTGTTTCTGAACTGAGTAAACAGCCATTTGGTCCCTTTTGCTGTCGTCTTGAGCCCAAATGGCGTTGAATTTCACCTTGGTGGATGAGGTAATAGTCTCTGCCTTCTCTGATAATCTTCAGCCCTCTGCAGATATATAATCTAATCAATTCACACAAACTAGTTTTGATATATCAAAGATATAAAGACAGTTTTCCAAATTTGTTATATAAGAGCTGTACAGGCAGGAAACAGGACAAGACATGATTTTCTGAAGTGTTCAACCTTTCATGTTTTGGACAGGGTAAACTGCCATTTATATTCTATTTGGTTCTTGAATTGTTAAGGAAAAGGAAAAGTAAAAAGAAGGAAAAGTAAAGAGGGAAGAAATGAAAAAGAAAAATCAAATGAGAGCGCCATTAGCTGGGAAAATAAGAAGAAAATGGTAGGCATTTCTGAAAGGAAAATGATGACACCAGATTTTTCTCACCTCTTTCGTGATTCACAACACAGCAAAGAAATATGATTGACATATGATGTGGAAAGATAAAAAAAACTGTGAAATTTATCCATTGATACATGACAGCCATCTTTCTCAAAATATCAATTTTGTTGTTTGGAAAAATTAGTAAGTACAAGTAAGTTTGCTTCCCTATCATAATCCCGTCATAATCCAGTAAATGGGCTATTTCTGCCTACAAATTTCTGAGTATTTCCACAAATACATGATAGTGATTGAGACTTTCATATTAGATTCAGATGAGGAGTATAAATCAGTGGTTTTGTCGGTGGCAAACTGGGAGTGAAGTGCTCAGTGCAAAAATACATATAAAAGTATTAGCATGAAGTTTCAGCTTACAGTCCGACTCGATCACAGCGATCTTGAACTTCATACATATCTTTCCATGATTTTAAACCTACAGGGGCATAGAATGCGGCTTGATCTCTTCCCCATCGCTCTTCGAATAAGTTAGACCATAGAATATTGTCTGAGGCCAAGACTTTCCACCTCCTGCAAACTTCAAAAAAATACCCAGTGGACAGGATTATTCATTTACTTTTAGCCTAAATAAACAATTCTCAGTAATTAAAAGGTGGGAATTCAAGCTGTGAATACTGGAATATAGTAAAACCTTTGGCTTCAATGATTAAGTTCAATGAATAACAAAGTTAATACCCATGTTTGTGAGTTTTTAAAGACCAAAATGTCTAAGAAATTGAATAATCATAAGGCAACACTTTGAATTGGACCAATTGATCCCAATTTTCGGGCAAAATGGAACTTTCTAGCTATGTTACCTGGACTCTTCTATTTCTCTCAAAATACCCATGTCCACCGCATGCAGCAATGATAAAAGTGTGGAACATGTGTCCACGAACTCAATTTAGACACTTTGAATCCTCCAACTTTAATGCTTGAACAATAAGAAACTCACATTTGACAGAAAACAAACATTAATAACCTCCAACATTAATAAAAATAAAATTTTCACATATTTTTTTTTAATCTTATTCAACTACATATCTACCTAATTTACAACATCTTATCTAAGATATTACATAATATTTAATATACAATACAAGTATCCGTAACAAGTCCCCATAAACATATCCTATTTTAGATATATATCCAAATATCCTAAGACTTAAGATTAAGAAGGTCTGCTAGGACAAGCACCCGTACTCGATAATCTTACCAGAGTACTTGTACCATAGCTTTCAAGTAGCTAATTAACTAAATAAACATTCAAAACAATAAAAAAAAAACTAGGGTAAAATTCAGGATAGTAGGTCAATTTCTATGTCATGTACTCATAGAAAATCAATTGGCATTTTAGAATGTACTTATAGAAAATCAAATTGGCATTTTAGAAAATTGCAGCTCTCTCTCTCTAACAAACACAATTTTCCTCATACATATATATATATATCCAACCCATGATTGCAGAATTGAGAGGGCTATCAACATACAACAGCGATGATATCTAATGCTAATGCATAACAGACCTCACTCAAGGACACACTTAAAATCCTTGATGAATTGCTCAATGCGAGGAAAATTCAAGAAACCCAGTTCAGATCTTATCGCAATTTGACAATTCAACAGAGCCAAAACGAAGCAGAAGATCTAAGATTTGAATTTGAAAAATGATTAACAATGATGGATTGATTGAAACAATTAGAAATTCCAATGATTTAGAGCTTCTACTACTGACTGACCTTGTTGAGCAGTTGCAAGATTCTGGTGATCCAACGAACCGAAGATCTTCATACACACATCAGCTGGTAATCTCCCCATTTGCTTCTCTCTCTCTCACGTCCCAAAATTTTGAATGTTTTGAAACTCAATTTTGCAGAGAGATCGAGATCAGATGAGCTTTTTATTTGCGTGCGACTTTCTAAATAAGCTCCTTTTAACTTTTAAACTGGTGATTGAAATCTTATAATTTCATTGCAGGCACAGATTGTATGTCTGGAGTATATAGGTCATGGTTGGTTTGCTTTCTAGAGTGACTTTGGAAAATTCTTTTAAAAAAATTTGTTTAATTTATAATTTTTTCAAAACAATTTTTGAAGATGATTTTTTTTTTTTTTACACATCAATTAATTATTTTTTATCTTTTATCTTTTTTTTTAATTATTTTTTCTCTCACACACATCTACTTAATTATAATAAAATACCAAATCATTTTAAATTCCCAAACTTCAAAATTACTTTCAAAATACACAATCAAATAAACTAAAAAAATTTCTAACCCCTCCCCCCAAATCAAATTTTAAAAACTAATCTTTCAAAATCAAACCAAACATAACAATAATATCTGTGAACTCGCCGATCATGGCCCTTCGCCATGTGTCCTCCCCTGTCCTATTTTTTACCGCCAAGTTTTTATATTTTTTAATACGATTTTACTGCCACACTTTTTTTCTCTCTCTCTCTCTCTTTTTTTTTTCACAATCGGAACAACTAAAAAGTGCTCCCATTAGCACTTTATAAATTATTTTGAATTCTCCAATTTTAATTTTTTTTATTACAATAATAACTTCAATAAAATTACTAAAAAAGGTTTCATTAATTTTGAGATACCCCATCTCATAATTAAATTTACATACCTACTATATCATGAATTAAGATTTATGAGAGCACCCACCTTCATCACCACTCATCAATCTTCCCCAAATTCAATTTTCAAAATCTACCCACCCTCAAAACATTAAAAATCTTTTGACGGCAATATTCCGACAGTAACAATGGTAACCATTTGACTATCTACACTTCTCCGGCAATGACATTGAGTGAAAGTTTTTCTAGTAATCACAACTCTACAAGACGAGAGGAGAATAACAATAAAAGCTTAGAGGATGTTCATAACTTTGATGTTATTTTTAGTTCAGAGGAGATTGACCTTATAAGGATAAGTTTTTTTAAAAAAAAAATGACAAAAATAATAAAATATGTTCGTCATTTTTTTGGAACTAAACTCTACATCATCTACTGCTGCTTTTGTTGCCCCTTTTGTTGCCTCTCCTTCTATTATGTCTTCTTTTCATCTTTGACATTGTTGGTTAGGCCATGTCTCTTTTAGTCGTTTAAAAACTTTGATTTCTAGTGATAGGTTAGGTCGTGTTAGTCCTGAAGATGTCGATTGTTTACCTTATCAAATTGTTAAACAACCTGCATTACCTTTTAATAAAAGTAATTCTATTTCTACTGCCCCATTTGATCTTGTGCATTCAGATATTTAGGGACCCTCACCCACACTGACCATAGGGGGTCTAGATATTTTGTGGTTTCCGTTGATGATTTTTTTTTGTTGTTGTTATACTTGGATATTTTTTCTCAAAAATTGGTTTGAACTTAAACAGATTTATTATGATTTCTCTGCCATGGTCTACACTCAGTTTTCTCGGACTATTAAACTCTCTCGTACTATTAATGCTATAGAATACTTGGATTCTAATTTTATTTCTTTTTTTTGGGCACATGGTACTCAATCTCATTGTTCTTGTGCAGGCACGTCCTAACAAAATGGTTATGCTGAAAGAAGCATCGTCATATTCTAAACACTACCCGAGCCCTTCTTATCTCCTCTTCCTGTCCTGAAAAGTTTTTCAGGAAAGTTGCTCTCACTGCTGTCTACACTGTAAATCGTGTGCCTACTCCTCTCATAGCCAATCTTTCTCTTCATGAGCGTTTTTATAGTTCTCATTTTGCATACTCCACTCTTAAAGTTTTTTTGGCTCTGTTTGTTTTGTTCTTCTTCAACCTCATGAACACACTAAACTCGAGCCTCGTTCTTATCTTTACTATTTTCTAGGGTATGGTATAGAACATAAAGGGTATCGCTGTTGAGATCTAGGCTCCAAGTGTCTTCGAATTGCTTGTCATGTGGTTTTTTAGGAACACAATATGTTCTCTACTTTGTCTAAGTTTCACCTGCCACAGTCCACCCATTCCTTGGTTTTTACTGATCTTTTTATGGACTTGTTGTCTCTTGAAGTTGATGCAGATTTCGATCCACTACTTTCATAGCTGTCTATGCCTACCATCTAACTTGACGTTTATGTATTTCTCGATGGTCCTTATAGCTGGCTTTTCATGCTCCTCGAAGGGGTTTGGTCTCCTCAGATGCGATAGCCCTACAGTTTGGACTTTCGTGGTTATGAATCTGGTTTCACAAGTGCAATGTGAAACAGAAAACAAATGAGAGTCTAAATTCGACAAATCTTAGAAAATTCATTGATTATCAGAGATGCCAAAAATGAACTACATTGCCAGATTTCAGAGTCGCCACCTAAATATTTTTGAAAAATAGAAAACCCGTGACTCGTGCCAAAGGCCACTTGTCCGTCATAACCAAAGTGTCTTAGCTCGGGAACTTAGGTATAAAAGAGGAAGGTCATGAATTAAGCACCTCACTCACCCACTCAAAGATCGGTCTCTACTAATTATAATGTGATTCTTATCAACACTATATGCTCTTGTTCTAATTTTATTACGCTATCTTACTATGTGAGGCACATAAGTATAGACAGTTTCGCTTGCTTTGGAAATGACTTTGATTTTATGTGATTTTTGTAAAAGAGTTTTGTGTGTACATAACTCAAAAGGAAAGAAATGAGCTCATACATATATTTGATCAAAATCATCCCTAATGCAAGTAAAATAACTTTCATCCACAGGCATTCAAACAATTCACTTCGAGTAAGCACGTAGCCTCATGGTAAGATGCTAAGCATGTCAACAATCATACACATGAATATGCTAAAGTAAAAAATACTCACCTAGTACTCGGAGGTAGCCAAAGAAAAAGAAAGTGATTAGAAAAAAAATAAAATGCATGACCCTAACAATGCACATGACTAATGTAACACATACAAGAATGTAACTACTAGGTTCGGCTATTTAACATGTAATATGGATTAACTCAAAGCATGTGATAACGTACATATTCAAGAAAATAGGCAATGACAATAATATTCAAGAATGATGAACCGAACCTTATGTATTCAAAAGTGGATGCAAAACATGGCAATGATATTAAACAAAAACATGACACTACATACAACCACAGTAAGCATATAAATAAAAGGAAGAAAGAAACGGGGGTTGGAAGACATACAGATATTACAAATTTGCCCTCGTACAAAAGGGTCCAAATGAATATCCTAATTAACTAATTATTACAAACACAAATGAATAAGCTAATTAATTAACTATTACAAATTCGAATATAAGTACCTAATTAATTACAAATGAATCTCGAAGCTAGTTTAATGGACTTGAACAAGAGGCGAGGAACTACATGTGTGCAACTAAGAACACCCTTCGGAAACCTCTTTGTTTGTTGCCAGAGCCTGCTCTGTTTACAGTGAAAAAATTGTTCTGTTTTGGCCTAAGGATTTGTTCTGTTTTGCTACAAAATCACCACTACCGTATAAAATGGATGGCCGGCCGGGCCTTATCAGATGGCTGGTCGTACATAGTAATGGCCGGCCGACCATTATTTCTGAAGAATACTCTGCTGCAACAGAACTGGAACAGAGCAAGACAGAGTGTTTCTAGGAGGTGTTTATCCTCTCTGTCCTTCACTATCATGAAGATGTTCAAGAGAGAAGTAGATTCGATTCTCTAATCACCAAACATCGCAAATTTGTTATGTGATGATCTTAGAAACGATAGGACAAGAGTTTAATAAATGCAACAAAGGATAAACAATACCTCCTCCCTATCATGGCATTACCTCAAAGGAGGGGGTAGACTTGCTTCATGAATCATCGAACATCACTAAAATAGTATGTGATGATTCTATAAGCAACATATTCAATATAATGTCCAACTGAACCTAACCAAATTTTATTATCTTTTTACCTTTTTTACTCCAATTTTATTAGCTTTTTTACTTTACCTTTCCATTTTCTTATCTTTTCTTCCTTTTTGTTCGAAGGTGATGATTACGTTCACTAAGTCCAAAGCAATAAAGATTAACAAGTATGACTTGACCCAAGAAATGAGCTCTTTGAGCCGTTTTCTACGGGAGAAACTATAAGGGAAAAATCAAACCCATTTACGAGCGATAATGAATTCGGAGTCAAATCCGAAGTGAGTGATAATGACTCCAAATCCAAACCTGATAATGAGCTATAATGAATCGTTCCTTTATGATTTCCAAGGGTCTAAATAGAAAATTAGTCCCTTGGAAATAATGCACTGGCAATAAAGGGAGGTATCAAATAAGAGATTGCGCTTAGGATAATAAAGACGTGGTGCCCTGATAATGAACTTCCAAAGAGGTTAAACCATTTAGCACGTGGAACCCCTTTCTTATGCAGTGAGCAAAAATCTTTTAGTTGATACAAACAAAGAAATGAGGGATGTTGCAGAGTGTGAATGAAAAGTGGATGATTACAATGACATAAATATATACATGAAAGATATGGAAAAGAAAACTATCAACTCAAATGAATTTGTGGCTATGGCCTATACACCAAACCCATGAGGACTTACAACAACACAAGTATGATATTCAAAGTATAAATTAAATAGACACATTAAACAACCCCTAAACTCAAGAAAATAGTGGCCAAAATCAAAAGAAACAGAGTAGAAAAGGTAAAGCAACAAGCTATGGAATAAGGCCTAAGGAAGGGTCGCTAACCCCTCCTCTTTTTGTGAGGTTTTAATAACATTTTAATCACATGTTAAGCTTAAAAATAACTCTAAAATCAATATGAAAGTACACGAAAAAGAGAGAGAAAAGATGGTTGAAGAGTTCAAAGATTAACTCTTGAAAGAAGGGATGTTCTTCTTAGTTCACAAACCACACTCTTAACACTCTCTAAGATCTGAAATTATCTTCAAGAACCTCAGCAAAAGCTTCAAGTTTAAGCTTATAAGGTGTATGCATCGTGTATGTATATTGCAAGAGAAGGAAGTGTGTTGTTTAAGCTATAGGCTCTGGGCAAATT